TTTTCTAAAGTGCAGCATTATGTTAAATGCACTGGGTTTTACCCTATTACATTTAAATTTCATGGTTAAACAGTACATGTTAAAATCTAAGCTCAGCTCGGCAGTGACCTAAAATACATAAATATAATTTTACTTACCGAAAAAAATGAAGTGGAGCCTCCTTGGACGCTCTATTAGTGCAATTAATGCCACAGCAAGTCATTTTGTCCAACAATTGCACAAAAATATCCAAACAAGAATACACACACACAGAGACTCAAAATCCCGGAACAGTTTCCAGGCCAGACCGAGGCTCAGGCTGAGGCCTTTCCACGGAGCTAGCTCTGTGGTCACGTGGGTCTGATGCTCATTAATTATACAGAATTTTAGGCTTTTAATACACTTAAACAGAAGAGTGAGAAAAACATTCACCCCCCTCAGAGTTGTCATGAGTGTAAACTAGATCATTTAAACCAAAAACATGTTCTGGTACCAGGCTGTAAACATGTTTATTTCTGCTGTGAAATTGGTATTTTTAACATGGGAGTCAATGAGGATTTGCTCGCTTCTGACACCAGCCCCTAGTGGATGAGGGTGGAACTGCAACTTCTGACACTTCCTTGTTTGCTTCAATTTCAGACCCGAATTATGGGTGCTTGGTTATACCTGTGAGATTAGTGTAAGGTGTGGGATTAAGACGAGACCTGAGAATGTCATCTTCTGTGTTAGTTTAGCCTGGATTGAGATTATTTTAATCTTGGTACATCCCAAAAAGACAACTCAATTTTTTATTTACTTTTTTTATGCTGCTGGTGTGTTATTTTGTGCGTCTCCCTGCTGTGCTGCTGGCCTTTTCATCCCTCCTGGGGGATTTTATTTATTTCCCTCTCATGGCACGACCGTCCAGAGCCATAATCCTCACACTCAAGCTGCTGGAATATAAATCCTGTCCGGAGATGCATTAGCTGACATCTCATCAAGAGGGCACAAACTATTATCCCCCCCCCCCCCCCCCCCCCCCGAAACCTCTCTGGACATGCTGACCTGCTGTCATTTGGTGACTCACAACACAAGATGCTGGATCTTAATCTGTGTTTTGGCATTCCATGCAGGAGGTCACTTCAGTTTGGGAGTGCATGGATGTGTCGGGGAGAAGGAAAGATGTTACAAAAGTTTATTTCTGACATCAGGAGCAGTTGAAACAAACTGCTTCTATTCCACAGATGAAGTTCTGAAGGAATTGAAGGTCAGAATAGGGATTTTTGTGGTTGGAAATGCAAGTCCAAGCATCTTTGTTATTCAGAATTTCATTCTGAGTCTTGGCTCGTAGTTTGCTGGTGTGAAATATTTGAAACTTGTGGCTGCTTGTTGTGTCGCGGTGAGAAACGACCTGGTGTCGAGACGAAGCTTCTGCCTGAAGTAGTTAAAACAAAACGAGCAGATTTAGGTTTATTTACGAGGTTTGCATCGTTGTGCTTCTGTCTCGGTTCTGCAGATCCACGGTGCACACGTGCAGAAGTGGAATGCGTCTATCGTTTAACACCTGACCTGATGGTGACTTTAAAGCTGGCAACTACATGCTTTGATGTTTAAAGGCACATTTAAGCAAATTCAGAGTTTTTCTGTGTAAAGGTTAGATTTATTTATGAACTTTATCTGTTTTAGATAGAAAATGAAACGGTAACCGGTCCTTGTTTCTAAAACTAAGAGAAGTTAATGGCAGCAACAACAGTAGATACAAACATGGAGACTAAAGTGGCCTGAGCCTATTTAGGGGAATCGCTGTAGTCTGGTCTTGGATCTGAAACCTGGATATTCTGACAAATTACTTCTGCATTTGGGACAAAATACTGCCGTAAAAAAACATACGTCCCAGTGTTTCCCCAAGACATTTGTAGGGGAAGCGCCGCGTCCAAAGATTCGCGTAATGGCCAGAATGGTAAATGGCCAGTATTTATTAGGGGTGTAAGAAAATATTTATTCGCAATATTTGTTCCTATGATATTATATCGATATTCAGAAGCCGTGTACCGAATGTTTAGAAGAATTTACATGCAATCATTTGTGTATTTTCTTTTCCTTTGGTGCAATTCAAACGGCAACCGCTACTTGGCAGCGATGTGCAATGGGATTTGCTTCCACCGCTGAATTGATGGTTCAGATACCTCATGCTAATAAACATGTTGCGTATCAGTTTGGACTGTTAATTGAATTTTCCCACAACAATTTCTGTCTAAAAAAGTTGCTAATATCATCTGGCTGAATGTATCCCTATATATCGTGATAAGTATCGTATCACCAGAATTTCACCAATGCACATCCCTAATTTGTATAGCGGCTTCTTAGGGTTCTACAGCCTGCTAAGGTGCTTCATAACACAATCAGTCATTAATCCATTCACATACACACACATTCACACGCTGGTGGTGATGAACTACGATGTAGCCACAGCTGTCCTGGGGCACACTGACAGAGGCGAGGCCTGCCATACACTGGTACCACTGGTCCCTCCGACCTCCACCAGCAGTCAGTGGTTTAAGTGTCTTGCCCAAGGACACAACAGCAGCAGCATTCTGCAGCCAGCACAGGATATGTGTTTACTGTGTTGGGTAACTATTGTTTAGTAGCAGACTTGGTTGTCCAGTAGCCTGGTCATGGGGCAGGTTCTGCTGTTGTCTTTCAAAAGATCTCTGCATGCTAGTGGACAATGAACAACGTGACGCACTCACCACCACCACCACCGCCCTGATCAGCCCACAAAGCAGATAGAGCAATGTGATTGGCCCCCAATTGTGGACATGTCGCAGCTCTCTATGGGTTTGAAACTCCCATAGAGAGCTATGATTGGCCACCCAGATTGCTGCTATGGGCTGCAGAGATTCCAATAGAACGTTCCCAGTAGGGATGGACAATAATTCAATAACGATATATATCGATTAATAGACCTGTGGTTCAATAGGATCGATAAAACTTAACTCCATCACCAAGCCCTCTCCTCTCAAACCTAAACAGACAAGATGTTGCAGCAAGGAGGGGTGGAAGAAATTATCCCGTAAAAGTTTACAGTACTTCACCAATGTGGCGATACTTTCATTCTTACAAGTCTGACAAAAAACAAACAGTGGGTTGCAACAGATAATCAATAAACAACAAGTCTGGTGATGCAACCAACTTGTTTTATCATTAAGTAACGGCCTAAGATGGCCAGGGCTGCACTTCAAATATATTTTTCAGTTATCAATAATTATAGATATTGATCAATAAGCCCTTTCTCTCTATCACCCAGCCCTAATTCCTAGACTAAACTTAGCAAGGCAAGAATTTGGTCTAGCTCACCAGGCTAGTAGACCAGTGGTTGGAGTACCAGACTACATGTAGTTTTGCCCAGGTTGACCTCCTGGTCTCGGCAATATCTGTTTTTCCTCCTGGTTTAGCTACACTTACCAGTATGTTTTCAACCCTTTATTTGTAAACTGTTTATAATATTTTATTTATTTATTTATTTAACTTTTTTCTTTTTTTTATTTGCGTCGCAAAATATTTTGCAGAAATATTTAAAGAGCAAGTCGTCCCAATTCAACTTTTTGCCGATAAACAATCTACATGAGTGTCTAATCGTGCTGTAGGCACGTGTAGTCAACATTGTGGCACCTTAGTGAATCTTTGATAAAGGGGCAGCAGTAGCTCAACAGGTAGAGTGGGTTGTCCAGTAATCGGAAGGTTGCAGGTTCGATCCCGGCTCCGGACAGAGAAATCTGCTGTTGTGTCCTTGGGCAAGACACTTAACCCACCTTGCCTGCTGGTGGTGGTCGGAGGGACCGGTGGCGCCTGTGCTCGGCAGCCTCGCCTCTGTCAGTGCGCCCCAGGGCAGCTGTGGCTACATCGTAGCTCATCACCATCAGTGTGTGAATGTGTGTGTGAATGGATGAATGATACTCTGAGAGGCGCTACACAAGTGCGGGGCATTTACATTTAAAATTTAAATATTCTGCCTAAAACTGTCAGTGTTGTGCCGTTGTCGGTAAAAACTCTGCACTGCATTTGAATTTAAATCTGCCATCGTTGTTAGCTAAGAGGTACACAATGACGTTAGCTGGTACATTATGATGTCACAATGCTGTTGTGAGCCTGTGTGTGTGTGTTTGTTAGTGGCTCTTCCCTCTCGGTCTGCCAGGCAACAGCATTTGTTGCATTTTTCAAACATGAAGTGGGAGTGGAGTAAGTTTCTTGTAGGGGGTGACTTGCTCTTTAAACTAAAATATAAACACATGAAATCTGCTTCAGCTGTCTAATTAAAGGACTGCCGTCACCGGGAGTCAAACTGGCATCAGCGTGTGGCAAAATGTGATGAAAGGCAGACGCTTTTACTGCTGGACTACCAAGGACATGCAGCAGCAGCGTTGCCTATCGTGCGTGCGATCTGGTTAGGCTTAAGATGCTGTCGTAGGCACATTCTGTCGTAGCAGGCGTGGGCGGAGCTTCGCTTAAACAAACCGTTATAAATTCTGGCTGATGTAAATAACTCCTAAGATAAATGACATCTCAATAGTGCCAACGGTAATATTTGATCATATATTGTGCCTAGCTTTGCTCTGAAAGGTTTACTATGGCATGATCTGGCTCCTTTAAAAATGTTTGCTTGAACTTTTGGTCCCACTCAGACCAGCTGTTGGCTCATCAGTTCAGAGTTCACCAGAAGAGCTGAACCGCCGCTCTGCTGCGGTTTTGTGGCTCGGACGCTGAAAGTTTAGTTTTCTCAGATCAGAGAGATTAAAAGCAGTTGTTAAGCTCTGTTCGAGGTGAGCAGTGGAGCTTCAGGCTCCTCCGTAAAGGGGGGTCATCATCCGTGGAGGAGGGTGTGTGGATGTTTGGGTGAAGTGGATGGGTCTCTGTGTAAGTGGTGAGAAGACTAAGCCTGGATGGGGGATTATGGGAGAAGGGGGCGGGGCGCGTGCATGATCTGTCAAGGCTTAGTACCACAATTATCCGAGCGGCTGCAGCTGTGGCTCTGACAGCGGCGGTGGTGATGGCGGTGGTGGCACAGGCTACATTTTCATTAACGTAATGCTCAGAGACGCTCCAGAATTATGTAAGAGTGACGTGCCGTCATCCTCTCCTCAGCCAGCCCACCTCCCAGCAACAACGTGGATGTTTGTTTTGCTTTTAGCTCTCTGAGAACCCAAAAGGGCATCTGTCCGAGCCGTGGTCGGGTGTGGGTCTCGGTAGGAGCCGGGCCACACCACCTCACGGGCATTTTACCGGTCCAGATGCTGAGGCTGTGGCTCGTTGTCATGGAGAAGCCGATGCACTGAGAAGCGGGAGGACGGATCAGTCGGCAGCTTTGATGACTCTGAAAGAGACGGGATTCGCAGTGTGCCTCTGGTGTTGCTCATCGGTGGAGATGAAAGTGTGGCCGTTGTCATAGCGATGAACCTTTGAGGGATGCAGTTAAAGGAGTGGTAAAAGATGAAGTTTAAGAAGTTCATTACGATCATGCAAGCGGCGATGGGGATCGTTCCCCTGAACAAACGGGAGCTCCTGCCGCCCGGCAGGAAGCTGTGGAGACCTCCGGGGTGAGTCCATTTTCTGTCCGACGACCCAGAGGGTTGGTGACTGCACCTAGGAGGAATTTATTTCAACGTATTTAAGGTTTAATTCATCTTTTTACAACAAAAGGATCTCTGTTTAGTCAGCTAGTTGGCAAACAAACAGGTGGATGTCTAATTTTACCACAGAGTGTTCTCCCTTTGTGGTAAAAATAACATCGACGACTTGGAGACGAATTCTTTAATCTTCAGTAGCAAAACCTAAATTATTCATCCGAGTGGAATAAACTCATCTCCCTCCTTTGTTACCTCACCTGGTCTAGTTTAAGGTCATCCTGTTTAATTGATCCTGATTGCATGAGGACCAGTCCAAGTAGATGTCTTTAGAAATAATTTATAAGACAGGCTTTTAGAAACGGATTAAGAAGAGATTAAAATATCTTAACTTTCACACATTTACTGTATTTATTATTATTTACAAAGGTGATACGACTCCTGAAGGCTCTTGTATGTATTTAAAACATGAATATCCTTTTCTTAGCTAGTAGTAATAATAATACATTTTATTTCAACAGCACCTTTCTAAACACTCAAGGACACTTTACACACAGAGATAAAATACACAACAATAAAAGACGGAACAGCTGAGTTTTGAGTCTGGTTTTAAAGTGAGTGAGGGAGTCAATGTTAAGCTAGTAACTATTCATTGCATTTTTTTGTGTGCTAGAAGTATCGGTAATCTGTATCGGCGAGTACTCAGATCAAAGTATCGGTATCGTATCGGTTTGGACAAAAGTGGTATTGGTGCATCCCTACATAAAACATGATTCACACTCATTACAACAGTCACTGGTTCCTCGCTAGGGTCTCAGGTAGCTGGTGTCTAACTCCAGCCGGACCCAGGACGGGTCTCCAGTCCGTCACAGGGACACCCAGAGACAAACACACCCAGAGTCGTAGCAGCTGGTTAAAAATACTGAAACTAAAGAGAATGAAAAGCAAAAAGGTGACAGACCTAAGCTGTTGTTCCCTATCAGTTCTCATGTTCATTAACGAAGAACGCCATTACTGACTGGAAACGATAAAAAACCAGCAGGTTTTCGTTTTCTCTGTCGGTCCAACAATAGGTGACAGTCGAATTAAAGAAGTTGTATATTCCTCCATACGCTTTCTTCTTTACCTTCCCTGGAAGCCAAGAAATGATCTCACCCAAAGCTGCAGAATAAGTTTGCTATGTGTTGTTTCATCAACACACATTAAATGTTGACCGACTAATGAAGGGTGAGTCTCAGACGGAGGAGCGGCGTTCTCCTTGTTTCTGAGGGACCAACAACCTGCCTGCTGTAATGAGGGCGTCCCTCAGGTCGGTCCAGCCGAAGGTGGTGAAGACGAAGGTTATGAGGGGCGACGGTGGTAATGGAGTTGGGGGCTTGTCCCGGAACGAGGCTTGCATGTTTGCACCCCGCCCTGTCTGTCTGTCTGTCGTTGTGTCTTTGGACAAGACACTTAGAAAGAAAGGATTTTTTATATAGCGCCTCTCAAGGTAAAAATCACAAGGTGCTTCAAAAAAACCAAATTATATATATAAAAAAAGATTAAAAATATGTTTCAAATGAGAAACAAAAATTGTGATTAAAAAAAGTAAGGAAAGAGGGAGAAAATGAACAGGAAAGAGGGAGATCAGTGGATCCCGGGAAAGGCGGAATAAGAACAGAATGAGGAGAGGGGGGTGACGAAGGTCACGCCAAAGCTTGAACAAGTGAGTCTTCAGCTGCTTTTTAAAGGAGACCACTGAGTCCACTGATCTCAGGCTCAGGGGGAGAGAGGTCCAGAGTCTGGGGGCCACAGCAGCAAATTATCTGTCACCTTTGACCTTTAGCCTGGTGCTGCACAACCAGTAGGCTGTGATCACTGGACCTCAGGGACCTGCTGGGGGTGTAGGGACTGAGAAGATCACCAATGTAAGATGGTGCTTGTCCATGTAAGGCCCATTTTGCTAGGTGGTGGAGGTATGAGGGACCGGTGGTGCCGGTGTACGGCAGCTGTGGCGACATTGTAGCTCATCACCACCAGTGTATGAATGACTTGTGTTGTAAGGACCCTTCACAAACAAAGAGTGCGATCTGGTATTTAATCATCTTTTTTTTAGTTGCCAGTTTAAAGCGGCTCTAAATTAAAAATAATAAAGAAACAAGATATAAGTTTTAAAAAAGTTCTGAGTCTTCAATGACACGTGCAAAAAAACAAATTGATCTTTCTGGGACAATGAAGAGTCCTTGTTTACATTACACCCAAGATAATGTTTACATTTAAAGGGTTGAAATGAGAGCTGAAGTGGAGAAGCAAGTAGGTGGTGTGGTTGCTTTTACATCCAAGTTGTCTGGAAAGATATGTGCTATAAAAGGAATTATACGTTGTCGATGGCAGTATTGATCAATATTGGCCCAAATTTTCTTACCAGTTCAATCCTTACTTGAAAGATAAATGTGGCTTTAAAGACTAAGTCACCCCCTACCAGAGTATTACTCCACTCCCACTTCCTGTTTGAAAAATGCAACAAATGCTGTTGCCTAGCAGACCGAAAGGGCGGAGCTGCTAACAAATACACACACACAGGCTCACATTGACATTGTGACATCATATGGTACCAGCTAACGTTCTAGGGTACCTCTTAGCCAATAGCGATGGCAAATTAAAATTCAAGTTTAGTGCAGAGTTTTTACCTGACAACGGCACAACACTGCCAGTTTTAGGCAGAACATTTAAATTTTAACTAAAATGCACTAAAGTGCAAAACTATTGACTACACGTGTCTGCATCACGACTAGACACGCATTTATATAGTTTATCAGGAAAAAAAGTTGATTTGAGGGTGACTTGCTCTTTAAAGATCTTTCTGTTGCATGTGAAAACTTAAAGGAGCAATAAGTAAGAATTCAATAGTGAATTAATCACAAAACAGTCTGTCTACATCGTGTTGGAAGGAAGGTCACACTCACAGGTTTCATCCTCAGCTGGCTGCTGGGGCTAGAAGCTAATCATCACAGGAAGCATCGGGGCTCGCGTTATTCAGGGAGTTAAACATCAACGTTGCATTTTTTACCCAAGAAAACGTTTCTTCTTTAACGCAGAAACGACTCTAGCTGGGATTAATAATCATCTCCTGTCTTATTTTAAATTTCCGTAGCATTTTCTTCATCACAGTTCAGGCTGGTTACCAAGACACCAGGAGGAAGGCGACATTAAAGCTGCCAGTTTGGCTGAGAATGTGTTTTACTCATGTCTGCACATGCTGCAAGTGATCGGGTCAGGGAGGCTGCAGATTATGATCTGTAGTGTCTTTGTGCGGGTCTGGGCTCTTTGCAGTCGAGCATGAGGGAGAAACATGTCTCAGATGTGAAATAAATGTGATTTTGAGTGTAAAAATCATGTCTCTGGTCTAGAAGGTTCAAGCCTTTTTAGAGCATCTAAAAATGGACCTTTCTGCCTGGTGAATCCCATGTGAGTGTGCAGACTTTCTGTTGGGTTTAACAACACGCCAGCAGAGATGTTCCCTTTAAACATTCATCACCTCCTCTTAAAAGTTTAAAATGTGAAGATCACAGCACACTTGGTGGGATTAACTTTTGAGGGAGTAATGTGGAGAAATTGGTGCTGGAAGCGATAATCTGTTGGTTATAATGTTTAGTTGCGTTTTGAGAAAAGGATGGACCTACATGACTCGCAATACGACCAGGATGTGAGTTATGGGTGAAAGAAGGATTTGTGTTTCCTCTTCAGTCAAAAACATGTGTGTTGTGTACCTTATCAAAATAAAAGCATCAAATACAATAGATTGCTTATTAATGTGACCGTGTGAGCGTCCTGTCACAGTATCCCGACTGATCCTGCGCCCTGGCTACTTGCCAAGGGGATGTCCCTTTGGCTGACTGGTTAGCATGCATGACTCTCACCCGGGAGTCTGGGGATCGAATCCCGCCTGGGCCCTCGTTTCTCCACCTTGCCACATTAAGATTCGTGTTCACTTTGAGTTTTTCATCCTTACAATTCAAATCAATTCAAGTTTATTTATAAAGCGCCAAATCACAACAAGAGTCGTCTCAAGGACCTTCACACAGTAAACATTCCAACACAGGTCAGGTCATTAAGCCAATCAGTAAAAAGTTTCCTATGTAAGGAACCCAGCAGGTTGCATCAAGTCACTGACTAGTGTCAGTGACTATACAGCAATCCTCATACTAAGCAAGCATGCAGCGACAGTGGAGAGGAAAACTCCCTTTTAACAGGAAGAAACCTCCAGAGGATCCTGGCTCAGTATAAGCAGCCATCCTCCGCGACTCACTGGGAAGAATACACACACACACATGCAGACATACACACGCATACACACGCGCATGCACGCACACACACACACACACACGCACGCACGCACGCATCTGTCTTTCTATCGTAATCCCCCCATTGACTTTGATTCTTTTTTTTGTGATTTCACCATGCCTAACCCATACCATAACCAATGCTGATCTGTTCCTAACCCATTCACACCAGACCTCTAACTGATATAGTAAGCTTCTAAAAAAAATGAGGACCCAAAAAATGTCCTCACATTGTAGGGAGAGTGTTCAAAATGGCTCTCAGAATGTAGTATGTACAAGAACGCACGCACACACACACACACACACACACACACACACACACACACACACACACACACACACACACACACACACACACACACACACACACACACACACACAAAGTGTGTGTATTTCTTAGTAAATATTCTATTTGGTGAGAGAAACACATGAACAAATGAACATCAAGTGGATTAAATTAAGTCTGGGCGATGTGGCCTAAAATAAATATCACGATATATCGAGTTAAACTCTAACGTAAATAAACAATAACTACATGCACAAAAGCACTAGATGGGGCCGTCACGGGTATTACGTAGAGTTACGTTGTCATGTGACTGGAGATGGTCCAGCTAGTTAAAGGGACATGAACTTCACCAACTTACACGCATCTATTCTTTTATTTATTTATTTTTATTTATTTTTTTTACTATCGAATTAATTGACATGGGGAAAAATGGTTTTGGTTAGAAATGACCGATAGATACATTTTTGAGTTATCGCCTAGTCCTAGATTACATTGTTTATGTGATTGTTAGCAACATTTGGTCAGTTTTGCAGCCTTGCAGTACACGATATCATAAACTACACCGGTCAGCCTAGAGAAGCTGAAACTCCCACTGAAGAACAGGGTTTTCTGCTCTGTTTCACCTTTTGGGCTGATGACCTGTCACCTTTTTGTCCCAGATCTGTGTAAAAAATTAATGTGTTTTCCTTCCATCCACAGGGACCAGGGTTGCTCCGACCCGACCAGTACTGACCTACTGAAGTCTGGCCGTAAGTTCTGCTGGTCCAGAGAGACCCATTACTTGTATCTTCACCGCCTCTCTTCAAGAAGTTTCTCAGCCATCACTATGGTAGGACACTTCTCTGATGTTTATTATTGATGAGAGGGAAGGAATGGAGAATCATTTGGTTCTGTGAGAACATGGGTCAGGGTTTCAGTTCAGTTGTCTCCGGGTACGATCCATCCAACGGACTTCACTTAAAGATGTTGGTAAAGGAACAGAAGTCAGAACAATCTCAGTTGGGAGACTCGGAGAGGATTTCTCATGTGGGAGTTGAGCTGCTCCTACAAGAAATCTACTATGGCAGTTTCAATGATCTATAATAAAGGGATGTTCTTACACTTGTGTGTTTCTGTTTAAAATTTGTAAATTCTTATTTTACCCATTGTAGAAGGCTTTCTGAAGGGCCTCTGCTCAGAGAAATGGTTCACATCCATCAGGACTAACGAGCTAACGGCTAGTTTGAGGGAAGACCATACCAGAGTGTATTAAATCAGATGGAGATAACTTTAAGACGCTTACATTCCTCCAAACTGATAAAATACGCATTTTAATTAGATTCCTAAGAAGTTCATTTTTATTTTCATGTTGCTTGTATTTGTCCTCTAATTGATTTTTTTCTGCTTTTTTTTTGTCTTAAACATTTTTTGGGTAATATAAAATTCCTCAAAAGTAAATAGTTTTTCTTGAAACTAAATTATATGATTTAAATTCTGCTTTTATGAAACATCTCCAGTCTCCTAAATTTCAGAGTAGTCCATGGGACATTACTTCATGAACCGCCGTCCGGTTGTTTTATGTTGTGGAATTTTATGGTTATTTACCAGATCCAGCTAGCCTAGAAATCTAGACCAGCCTGCACAGCAAAATCGTTTTGCTGTGCAGGCTGGTCTAGCCACTCTCCTTGCCAGCCCCAGAAGGTCTACCATTGGCCCAAAGAGTTTTCTGTCTCGCCAATCACGGTGCTCCAAGTTTGCTTGACGTGATTAGCCAATGACATCAGAGCTGCGACGCAGAAAAACAACAAAGATGGCCTTGGGTGTTTCTCAATGTCAAGGCGCCTGGCCTTGCAAGGCGATGTCTTGCGAGGCCAGGCGTCTTGCTTACGAGGACACGGTCCTTCCTTGGACAAAGAAAACGGTTAAATGGAACAGACTTGCATCACGTGACCGCGGCTTCCATGGCGGTAACGTAACTTCACGTGACACGGGAGATAACGTTGTATTTTATACATAGTTTCAATATAAATGTATAACGAGTCTTTTACTTTTTAAATTGTGTATATGTTTATTAAATTAAATATATAAGCGAGTTGCTACCCGCTAGCCACCGAAGCTGCAACTACTAAGCTACTAACCAACCATAGATAACTTCTTTGGATCTAAAAATAACATTTTAAATTAGTTGACTTACTTTTAAACTTGAAAATTGTCCCCGAAGTAGCTGCCGGCTTCTGATCCGCCGTCCTTTTGAAAATGCCGCGGTGTATTCTGGGTAATTTTTGACCAAGGCTAGGCTACAAGTTAAAGTTAAAGTCCCATTAGTTGTCATACACACTGATGTGTGTGCGAAATTTGTTCTCCGCATTTGACCCATCCCCTGGGGGAGCAGTGAGCTGCAGACACAGCCGCGCTCGGGAACCATTTGGTGCTTTAACCCCCCCAATCCAACCCCTTAATGCTGAGTGTCTTGCAGGGAGGCATTGAGTCCCATTTTTTCAAAGTCTTTGGTATGACCCGACCAGGAATCGAACCCTGATCTCCCAGTCTCAGGGCGGACACTCTACCACTAGGACCCTGAGCTGGTTAAAGACACCTTCCGTGTATCCTCACTTAACTAGCTAAACGGCTAACAAACGGAGAACATACGCCTCGGTAGAACATGAACATTGGAACACGTCTTGGCGGCTCCCGACGACATATCTCCTAGGTAACCGGGGCGGGGCCGTGACATCAAGGCGAGGTTCGTTGGCATTGAGAAACACCCCTAGACTCCGGAACGTTGCTTGTTTGAAACGCTCCAGCTGCATGAAGGGACGGTTTGATAGACCACCATAGATTCTGCCCCTAAGAGTAAGCCATTTCAGGTTGAGGTTCAACATCACCAGAAGCTAAATGTAATACTGGGTATCAGTACTACTAGTTTTCAGAGTATCGGGTCGATTCTACCCGCAAATGTTGTTGAAAATGAATGAAATGATGCCCAGTTGTTAAAGTAGTGGTAGCTTCGTAACATATAACCATAACAATCAGGTCTAAATTACATGGGATCAGGCTGAAGTTCTGGGTGACGCCATATTAGATGCCATGTTTCCTTCTCCAGGAGCCCATGAGGACAAAAAGCATTTACTGATTTGTAACAAACAATTACGAAACTTTCACTATTCATAAACGTTGTTGTTTACACGTCTACCTCTTCGCTCGATGCCGGTGATGAAAGGAGTTCTGATGTGGTTTAAAGTGAAAAGGACTGAATGAAACTTTCTTTGTAAATAATATTTAGATTTATTTTCTCAACATTTCCCCTTTTGCCCTCACATTTCAGCTGTAATTCAGTCACCTCCTTGTATTTCCCCTCGAATGGTACAGCCTCTTAGCTGCAGGTACACTCATCAAAACTTTGCTTGTAAAAAAAAAAAAAAGAGTGTCCCTTTAAAGGCAGGAATCATTACGAATGTGTCCGAGGGAGGGAGAGTGAGGACAAGGATACTGCTAACGGCTAAGCTAGCTGACCAGTAATCCTACTGTAAGTAACATACGTCCTTTTATAAGAGGCTGTTGACATTTGACTTTAGCTGACGAGGCGAGTTCTCTTGTTGTTGGATGAGCTAATGAGATTGCAGTTGGTCGGTGACATCACACACTTCCTGCAATGGGGACCATCACTCTAAGAAGGACAGAACGCTCAGATGTTTATAGAAGCGGTATCGGATATAACTGATACAAGCGGGACGCTCGCTTTCCTTTGGCTTTGTTCATGTTTATTATCACTCGTCCTGAGTGACGCGGCGACGGGCAGCTGGGCGACGTCAGCAAGATCTCTGTGTCTGTGGAGTCACGGAAGCGTCCCGTGAGCCGAGTCGTTTAACATCAGAACCTTTCAGATTGACATGTACAGCAGAACTAAACGTTTCCAGGAAGCTCTGTGATTCAGCGTGCATGATGTTGTGGAACTAAGAGTATGAATTGATTTGTGAGCTCAGAGTCATTCTGCTGATGAGAAGCTCACATTAAGCTTTAACCCTTTAGGTTCTGGTGGGTTATAGTGGGCTTTAATCCAATCATGTGTGAGAAATCTTATGTTTATTTTGATTTCTTGATCAAAACTTGAACCGAAGATTAGGCTTCAGTGGAAACACACCCATAAACCTTCAGAGTTTGTCACCAAAACATGTTTTTTGAGGTACAAATATCAATTTAAACAAACCTTTTGAATTATTTACAATTTTCTGACTGCCTTTTCTAGCTTTTCAGGTCTTTTTTATATTTGTGTTTTCCTTCTAGGCTGTGCAGTGGCGCAGTGGTTAGCGCTGTTGCCTTGCAGCAAGAAGAGTTCAAATCCCAACCTGGGGTCTTTCTGCATGGAGTTTGCATGTTCTCCCTGTGTATGCGTGGGTTCTCTCCGGGTACTCTGGCTTCCTCCCTCAGTCCAAGAACATGACTGTCAGGCTGATTCATTCCTCTAAATTGTTCTTAGGTGTGTGTGTGTGTGTGTGTGTGTGTGTGTGTGTGCTTGGTTGTTTGTTCTGTGTCTGTGTTGCCCTGTGATGGACGGGCAACCTGTCCAGGGTGTACGCCACCTGCTTGCCTGGAGACGGCTGGAGATGGGCACCAGCCCTACAACCCTGCGTGGACAAGCGGGTATGGAGGATGGATGGATGGATGATTATGCTCTCCATCTTATCTGTTTAGTTACTTAGGGTTGGACACATCGACATATAAATACTGGACAATTCATTGCCATAGACTCCAATATCACGTTTTTGTGCCAAAATGGGAGGTGGCCACCACCGCCATTTTGACCGTGTCACAGGTTCCGTCCAGCCCAGACAATTCCACAAAAGGGAAGAGAGGTGGAGCTGAGGGTGGGGCTGTAAGGCTGGGATCAAATGACGACACCTGTCAAACTAGCTACAAGCTAACCTGAAGCTAACCCAAAGCTAACGCGGAGGTGGGAGCTAAGCTAACGGAGGTAGCAACCTAGCTACAACCGGAGTTAACTGTGCACAACACCAGAGCTTCTGAGTCAGAGATACGCCGGGCTGACCGCTGGGTAGAACCGGGTGGAACACAGAGGTCTCCGAGACCTCCACAAGCCGGCAGCCGCACAGCAGACAAGCGCCGCTGCGATCTGAGATGTGCAGAGCTGCCGCTGGGGAGAACCGGGTGGAAAGGTTTCCATCCCAGAGCTCCACAAGCCGACAGCCCGCGCAGCAGACAGAAGCCGCAATCAGAGATGTGCCGAGCTGCGGGGAGGGGAGAACCAGGTGGAACACAGAGGTCTCCCGAGAGCTCCACAAGCTGATAGTGGGAACCCAGCTTCACCAACATGTTATATTTCAACCCATTTTCTAAAGTGCAGCATTATGTTAAATGCACTGGGTTTTACCCTATTACATTTAAATTTCATGGTTAAACAGTACATGTTAAAATCTAAGCTCAGCTCGGCAGTGACCTAAAATACATAAATATAATTTTACTTACCGAAAAAAATGAAGTGGAGACTCCTTGGACGCTCTATTAGTGCAATTAATGCCACAGCAAGTCATTTTGTCCAACAATTGCACAAATAATATCCAAACAAGAATACACACACACAGAGACTCAAAATCCTGGAGCAATTTCCAAGCCAGACCGAGGCTCAACTGAGGCCTTTCCACGGAGCTAGCTCTGCAGTCACGTGGGTCTGATGCTCATTAATTATACAGAATTTTAGGCTTTTAATACACTTAAACAGAAGAGTGAGAAAAACATTCACCCCCTCAGAGTTGTCATGAGTGTAAACTAGATCATTTAAACCTAAAACATGTTTTGGTACCAGGCTGTAAACATGTTTATTTCTGCTGTGAA